TTCGGTGCCGCCCCTGCGGCGCGGTGAGCGGGAGCGGCGCTCGGGGGGAGGCTCCCCGGCAGGCAGCCGTCAGCTCGAGCAGTGACAAACCCACTGCGCTGGGCACGGGGTTAACGTGTGGGCGCGGACCATCTGAGCATAACACAGCTCGAGTGAAACTTCTTGTTTCGGTTGTTCGTCATCGATCCTTAACATGAGTAATTATGGGTACCTAACGTGGGAGTGGGCGCACGGCTTACGGGGCTACTCCTACCCCCTGATCTTTGCAAGCATCTACAAAGCTCTGCAGCTGCTGGCTAAGGATGATGTTCAGCTGCTGGTGAGTATAATCCAAAAAAGCATTTTGTTTAAATTCAGTGTGTTTTTAGTGTTGTCCGGGTAAAATACAGAGCCTTACATCTGGCAATTAGAGATGTCCATGCACAGAGACCCCCCTGAAGTGTTGTGTGTGGGAGCAGAACTCATTCATAGATCTCCAGGCACAGTACTGATGCCTGTGACTGCAGAGGGTTATTCGCCTCCCCCACTGATCTCCTTGAGTTTCATACTGGTAGTGTCTGCCACTGCATCATAATTGCTCAGTGGTTCTGTTTTCCAAAGTGTTTAATAATAGATATTTGTACTGAGCTCAGTAAGAAAAGCCTTTTTTGACTTCTATTGGAGATGAATGGCAAAGAATTTTACTTTCAATTTCTGAACACTTTCAGCTGAACTTTAGACTTACTTTGTTGGGGCAGAAATACTAGTCTTAGCAAAGGATCTTACCATCATAAAAACCTAGCAAGAGTATTCACTAATTCACTTACTATTTTCATGTCTGAACAGTTATTCACTAATTCAGTAGTCCTCTCTTTGAACTTGGAATTGAACAGGTTTGTTGCAAGTAAAATTTTCTCTGCTTATGTAGATATGGGTCCCTAGACTTTCACAGGCAGTGCTGGCAGCTTTTGCTGATGTGAAGCTTTACTCATTGGTGCGACACCTTGAAAATGCAGAAACAGCAAAGTATGTGGTGAGTCTCAGCCTTTTAAAAAGTTTTATGTGTAAGTTATGTATGTTAATAAAGTCTGTTGCAGTATAAACAACAGCAAAATTATAATAAGATATACCTTGAAGAATTATCACCTTCAGAATTTAACATTTCTCCCTGTTCATCCTGTTTTCCATTATTATTTTCAGTACTTCTGCCAGCTGTGTTCCTGGTTTACATGGTATTCCTGTACCAGAACTCTAACAAACACCATGGAAACTCTTCTTACCATTTTTGCTCTTTCCTATTATCCAATAAAAGGTTCCAAGATGGGAAGCAGGTGAGAAACTTTCTACTAACAGTACTGATAATTTTTGGCTTGGTTATAACACCAATCTACTGCTACTACTTAAAATCCTGACTTTTATCTTAAAATATAAGGCAACCAAAAACACCTCATTCATGTAGGAAGAGCTCTAGATCGTGGAAAGAACAGCAACTGTCATATTTCCTCTAAATTTTTTTTGAGGCTGTGATACAGCTGGTATGCAAAATTATTATTCTCCAGTTCCCTTTGGCAAAGTAGCACTTTATGAGAAACTTTAAGCTTTAAAGGACTGGAATTTGTGGTACCTTGGGAAAAGATAACAAAAGCTTGTTTGGGGTCCAGACATAGGTAAATGTGTGGTTGCACCTTTCTTTACCAGCTATCTATTTTAAAGCAAGTACGTGCTTCTAGTTAGCAACTCCATTGTTAATAAAGCAAAACAGAATATCCGCACTGAAGAGAATCAAAATTATCTTCAGTATGAAAAACTTCTGGTCAGAGACGTGACAGTATTTAAATTGTTGAAATGTCACTGTCTGCAGGAACTGAGCAGACCTTTTTATAAACGTCTGATTTTCTTATGTTCCTGCATTCTAGTTGCAAATATTTAGCTTTGATAGCACTTGCAATTGTTATTCGTCCCACCGCTGTTATTCCATGGATACCTTTGGTCTTCAGTCATTTTTTGCAAGAACAGAGGAAAACAGACCTTATCCTATGCAACTGCATTCCAGTTGGGTAAGTTCTTTCTGAATTTAAATTATGACTGTACACAGCTATATCTTAAGATTGATTTTACCACTTCAAAGGCAGACAACCCAAAAAAGCTGATTTAATGTAAAAAACAAGGAAAAAAAATTTTTTTCAAAAGTTTAGAGAAGGAGAATGCTTCCTTTAAATTAATGTATATGCTGCAAAAAAGCACTATGGGAGATTTTATGAGGATGAGACATGAACAGCATTCCAGCTTAATCTGGGATTGTGCCAAGGATACTGGCTGATGGCAAGTGGCCACTGTAAAATGGCTATGAGTATGGATAATCTCAAAGATTAGGAATAACTCTTCAGGGAGTTTTGACAGCTACTTGGAGAAGAGCAGAATCTGATCCAAAAGCATTTCAGGCACTATCAGCACAACCAACTTTCCATTTTTGCAGATTGGTCACAATAGGAACCTCTTTAATGATTGACCGTGTGTTTTTTGGTGAGGTAAGTTGTTTTAAACTTGACTTAGAAGAAAAAGGTTGGGTTTTAGCATTTTAACATAGATGGATGTTTCAGACTTCTCTTAACTTCTGTTACTTCTGTGACTGTGTCTGGCCTATGATCTCTAAATAAATCCTAAGCCATAAACCCTTCAACACTGACTTCTCAGTCATTTTAAATGACAGACTTAAAATCAGTATGCTCAGCTCTCAATAAATCAATAGTTATCAACAAACTACAAAACTTACATGCTTCTGTGTTTAATTGCTAAATATAGGAAGAAAAAAACATAATTATGAATGAAAATGCTGTATCATTTAAGGCCAGTGATGACTCTGTAATTCAATTTAGGTGTTGGTTTTCACGTTGGATTTGTATTTAACTTTTCTTTCTCCCCTCCCCTGAATCTCCCAGTGGGTACTGGTTCAGCTGAACTTCCTGAAATTCAATGTGCTGCAGAATCTGGGAACGTTTTATGGGTCTCATCCTTGGCATTGGTACTTCACTCAGGGACTACCAGTCATCCTGGGTACTCATCTGCCTTTCTTTATTCATGGCTGTGTGCTGGCACCAAAAAGGTATCGCATCTTTCTAGTGGCAGTGATTTGGACAGTGGTGGTATACAGGTAATTTCTCCTAACTATAACTACTATCTTTCACTGGTTGTGGGTTTTTTTTCAAAGCTCACGTCCTCTCTAGAACAAAAAAGCATAATATTCAGGTTAAGTGATGGAGAACTTTAAACTATTAAAATACTCCAAGAAATGCAGTCAATTATACAATAGTTTCTAGAATCTTATGTAATACTACTTCTTGTATTGTTACCAAACATGTATTTTTAGAATTTATTAGACTCTTAAAGATAAAATAATTCAGCATGAAATTCAGTGGAAAACAAACAAAAAAAAAACCTATCACCCAACAATGGGTTTAAGCAACAATAGAACTAATTAGAAAAACTGTTTACTACATGCCTGTTAACAAAAATGCCATTTCATTTGGTTCTTAAATAGATCCCCAGTAAGATGAGAGGTTCTTAGGCCTCTAAAACTTACTCCATTCACATGTCTACACAGAGTTCTTAACATTTATTATAGGACTGTATGTCTCATTTTAAGTTGAGAAGTAGAAGAAAAGGTAAGTTATTTCTGAAGCATCAGAATTAACTGTAGATTAAAAAAGAGACACTGTAAGACAAGAAAAGATACAGCAAATTAATAAATACAAAGTTATAAATGAAATGGCATTGGACTACAGTAGTAACAGAATACAGAAAAACAGTAGCGAGGCCACAAATGACATCTCTTCTTTCAGTCCAGCTCAAAGCTGGATGTAGCTCTGTTGAGTTTAGGCCTTTTTATCTCCCTTAGTGTCTTGTAAGAACCTGTTTGGTTTCCATGACACAAACGCCTTGCAGTAATCTCCAGAAAAGCCCCAAAAGTTGGCATGGGAAAGGGGGGTAAAGTTGTATTACCAGAGGTGAATGTTACTTTGTTAGATACAAATGTGTACTTGAATCTCGGCTTACCAGCCACCCTTTTTATTACAGAAAGCAAATGGGTGGAGTACTAGCTAGGGCATGTATAGCAGCCGTGGAATCAGAGCACTTAATTGCTGGAGTAGTAGCCAGGTACTGTTACTGGTGTTTGGTTTAAACTGACCAAATAATCTTAACTTAAATGTACTCATTATGTTCTTAAAAAGTGACAATTTGCATTTTTACTCTAAACTGCTTCAATGCCAAAAGCTTTTTAGTCCATGCAAGTGCTTTTCTTCCAGTCCTCCATGCTCTAAAACATATTTTGCCAACAGAACTGATGCATTTAACTTTCTTGCTGTAGTATTGTATCTGATTTATTACAGCATGCTGAGCCATAAAGAATTCAGGTTCATCTATCCAGTACTACCATTTTGCATGGTTTTTTGTGGTAAGCATTGTTTTAAAATGTCTTGCAACTTTCCCTGCATATAATTTTCACCTAAAGAGTGACTGTTAATAGTCAGTGTAGGTATCTGTGGAAGGATTCTTAGAACTAGCCTAACCTTTTCTTACAGCTGGGGGTGGGGAGGTGGGAACAGCAGGTGACTGAAATAGAGATGGAGAGTCCTTAGCATGGATAAAAAAGTACTTCCTGCAAAAAATACTAAAATTACCTCACTGACTCCTAACTTTAGCAATGCCACCCTTACAGTGAATTTCTTTCCTTGGCTCCTTGGTAGTATTTTTCCATCCGCTTCTCTCAAATATGTCTGACAAATGCCTTCAAGTATGCAACAAAAAAAAATTATTCAAAACCTAAAATTATCCTTTTTGAGATTCAGGTGTGTTAATAGATGATGCTAGTTATTTGTCTGCTCTTGACCAATCATGAGCTGGAGGTTACTTCCCACTGAAGTTTTAGAGCAGTTAATGTGATAGCTTTTTCCTTCAGCCATGGTAAGGCAAATTTGTTAAAAAAGGAATAAGGTCCCTTAACTAATGTGCTTAACTTAAAAAATAATTAAAGAGAATCTATCCACAGTTCAAACTGGAAAGCATGTTGCTTTTGCTATCTTAAGATTTTTCTGATACTTTAACTGAAACTTTTAAAAGTATTCATTTATCTTTTTTCCTGTTTTGTTTTGTGGTTTTTTATCTCTTAAACACAGAAAAGAGCCTAATAAGGAAGTATTTTATATTTTACAAAACTAGGTATTAACTACGCTAGTGTATCTATAGGAAAAGAAATCATGAAGTGAAGTCTAGTATGCTGAAAAGTTACAAAGGAAAGATTAAAACTTCAGGAACATGAAGCTGTATAGCTTTAAATACAAGTTAAAAACATATGAATCAATGAAAATTGTAATTGTCTTTAATGTGTTTTGCTAGTGTAAACAGAAGTAAATCTTATTTCAATAATTCTGCTCTCTGCTGAGATCAAATGAGTAATATGTCTTGGCTTAGTTCAATAGCAGATTTAAGACAAGCCAGCTCTACCTCACGTGCAGAAAAATTCCAATCAGACCACTCTTTTTTGTTAATATCCCTCTTAACTTTCATGTCTATAAGGGAATGAGGTCATCTCTGCAATTTATCAAAAACACTATATATAAAAGCAGAAAAAGACCCCATGTGAATTTCAAAGTAATTTCCAAGCACACTTTAAGATAAGCTAAGAGCTTTTCACAAAAACAGTTAAAAAAATGCCTATAACAGAATTTTTCCACTGGTGTTTAAACCACAGACTGATTAGTGGACTTTGTTTTCATCCGAGATAAAGATCTGCAATTTGTCACAACAGGCCAACTCAAGACTTAAATTAGTCTGACTGACTTCTGAAACAAGCCTATTCTAACTTGTTTCTTTTGATTCAGTAAAGGCAATCACAGAGCGAGTCTGCATAAAATATTTTTATCTCCTAATACTGACACACACACATGACGTAATAAGGGTTTCCAGACTGGCTGCAACATGAAGCAGTCTTCTATGCCAGGTTCATTTAAGTGGTGGATGTGAGAGACAGATTTATACAACTATCTTTCCCAAGGAAAAATGTCCTATTATTAGCTCCTTCAAGAAAAATGGGGAGAAGAGGCAGGGATGGGAGTTGGGAAAAGATGGAAGAGTAAACTTTTCCAAGGATAGTGGCTTAAAAATTAATAACAATAAGGAAATGCTGTAGCTTTCAGCATGGTGGAGAAGAATACCACAGCCATACCCAAGCACATGTAGTTACCATTTATTCTGGCTCTACTTTGAGACGCGTGAATCAGAACACATCAGCAAGTTGCCACATATCATTTATCCAAATTAACAAATGGACTATTTTTTCCCCACAAGAAATTAAAATTAAGCTCTAAAGAGATAAAGCACATTTACACTGTTAGATCCAAGAGTTAATAAGGGCAAAGTCCAACCTTTGAATTTCTGTTCAAAGAGTAAATACCTCAAAGCACGGTATTGTTATCAACTGAGTAACGGTTTTCCAGTAAGTTACGGTACTTTCAAAAATACTGTGTGGAATTGTTAGTATTTGCTTATCTCCAAAACTTAACTCAAATGTTTTTATAGGATATTCTTTGAAACACCTGAAAGCATGGAAGAAATCTGCAGCAAGTTTCCTGCTTTTATCAAACTTAGTCCCAGCACTGTATACAGGCTTGATTCACCAGCGAGGCTCTCTTGATGTTATGAGTCACATACAGCAGCTCTGTAATAACTCTTACCAGTCACAAGCTTTTGTCTTCATCATGATGCCATGCCATTCTACTCCATTTTACAGGTATTAAAATAGTTACCAGTGTACTATATTAAAATCCATACATTTAAGGTGAAATTAAGATTTATTTTTTTCCTAAGCTTAATAAATAGAGATGGATAAATGTGTAAAGGAAGGGTTTTGATTTTTCATGAAGTTAATGCAGAATGAATGGGGGAAATAAGCCAAATGCTTATACCACAAAATAAAATTCAGCATCTAGGCTTTATTCAGTTTTTGTAAAATAGCTTTGTATGAGGATATGCAGTAAGTCTTATGACCTCTGAAGGTAAGTCATACTGCTTCATTATGGTAACTTTTGTAGTAAAACTAAAGACTAATTGTTACAGTCAAAATGTGTTAACTTCACTTCTGCTGCTAGAGAGTAAAGAAATGTAATTACAACATACAATGACTGAAGTCACTCTTCCAAAACGTTTGCAGTAGATCCTGGCAAGTAAACAAAACCTTAAAGCAGATATGAACAGTGAAGCGGATACAGAAAAGTACTTTTTTGAAGTTGATGTTGCACAGATGGTATCTTTATTACAATAAATCTACTTTCTGTGAACTGCTAACAACATAGTCAAGCAGTCTGGAGCTGAATCCATGTGTTCTACTTTTGCTTTCATATGAAGTACATATGAAAGGGAAGAAAATGTGAATCTGGGGGGAAAAAACCTAATTATTCAATTTTGGTTTTGACTGAGGTATCTTTAAGTGCTGAGTCATTTCAAATCTTAGATATTGGTCAGTTTATCCTGAAGTATTTGTTTTGTTTTTCTCCCTAGTCACGTTCACTGTCCTCTAAAAATGAGATTCCTTCAGTGTCCCCCAGACCTAACTGGAAATGAGAGCTATATTGATGAAGCAGATGTATTTTACTCTAATCCACTTGCCTGGCTTAATAAGGAGTTTTACAATGATACATTATTACCCAGTCACTTGATCTTCTTCAGTGGGCTAGAACAGGTATGGTAACTGCAAGTAACAAAATAGATTAGGGGAGTGTTAAGATATTTGAAGACTGTTGTCCACAACTTTTAAAATACAGCTTAAATTCAAATTGAACCCTCTAGTTCATAATACAGTATAGATAACATGCCAGTCATATATATTTAACATTCATATATACCCTCTCCTCTGTGCAAATTCTAGATGCCTTCTCCTCAAACCTATTAAAACAAATGTGCGGTCTGTTCCCAGAACCATACACTTTTAAAGTAAGCAACAATGACAAGCAAAAATGCCTGCAGTCAGAGTACCTTTTCCCTTCAATTATTTTATGAAGTCCGTGTACTCAAAGAACAGTGTCTGGTGAATATCCACTCCGGACAGATCAAACAGGATAGGTACCTCTTTTTCTAGCAGTCTTTCCTAAAATAAAGGATAAAACTTCCAGGGGACAGTTGAGTGATGGTTTTCAGAAAACTTTGGAACACTGTTCTGATGCTCTCAACTGTTTTCTGACTGTAGAAACTCATGTATGTTCATTTACAGGAAATATCATCATTTCTAGCTTTAAGGGGCTATGAGAAAACAGCCACTGTCTTTCACACTCATGTACCTCAAGGACGAGTTGGAAGCCACATCTACGTCTACAGGAAAAAAAATGAAATGAATCATACCTGAAGATCAGTTTCTAGACTTAAGACCTAAGATCAGTTTTGCATAGCAGTACTATGCCTAGAAGATCCTGTATTGCAGAAAGGAGAGAGTAGTGAGTCTGAAATCGGTAAGTCATATGGGGAGTCTGATTAGGCAGCCCTTGGCTGTCTGGAAACTCCTAGACCTCTTCCTGAAGGCAACTTCAATAGCAGTATAGCAGGGTAAGGGTGTTGACCTACCTTACAACACTAGAAAACATCAGGAAGATGGAAGTTACCATCTGACTGCTTAAACAGTAAGAAATTAGACAAGACTGGACCATTTTTATAGGACTGTTATAAATAAAGACTTTTACGCACAATGTCTCTTTATTTTTCTTCTACAATATGCAGATATGCAAGACATTTCAAGTGCTTAAATCAGTAAGCTGATTAGAACGCAGCACAGCAAATTCTTCACAATTCAACAGGCTCTTGAACGCCCCCCAAAGACAAGAAGCAAGTGGAAGATTACAAAACACTAACAAATACATTACCATAATGTAGAGCTATTTTTTGAAGGATGAGATGAAGTTAGTATATCAAACACTGGAGTTAATTATTGGTACATTATGCATGACTCAAGCTTCAACTACACTAATGGAATGCAATTAAGCATATTTTTCATACACAAGTCACTGCATGCCTAGTTTCTGCAACAATACTGTTGGCACCCAAAGTATCATCACTTCCAAAGAACAGTTAAAGCAACAGTATAGAATATGCAAACTAGAAAGCTTGACTTCTGCCTTTTAACAAAAATGTGTAAAAATCAAATTAGAGGAAAAACTTGCATCTTGCTGCTTTGTTGAAAAACAATTAGTTTCTGGAGAGGATGTGAATTATTCTGATCTTATTTTTACCATAAATTGCTCAATATTTTGGATCAAATGGTAACTGCCCCAATTCTATTTCAAGATTTGCCATGTGTCTTCCATTAGTGCGACCATGTTTATGCCATTTACCTTCTCTTTTATTTCGGTGGTGGTACTTCTGAGCTTGTTTTTCATGTCTGTAATTTTCAGTTTGTGTAAAAGAAGGCCTTTTAGGTTGACTGCAAAGAGTAAACAAAAGCTTATTACTACTCTTACAAAAGCATCTCTCAAAGCATTTTGAAACACACAATTACATTGTCAAGAACAACTTTTAACATGATGAGGTTGACTGAAAACAAAATTAATATGAAGTAATCATTTCTCTTTAAGCAAAATGGGGGGGGATATTTATTTAAATCATCAATAAGATGGTATATTTAAAATAAATCCTTTCTAAAAACCAAAAATGCTCTGCAGCTGGTTGCCCAAAGTTCTTTTTAGAATAAAGCCAGGTTTGATTATCCCTACTGTGATGCCTGAGTGAGGTCTTAATTTATTTTACAGTTATTCTATTACATTCTGCTCTATAAAAAAATAATGAAAACTTTACAGACCCTTAGGAAAGCATGCTTTTGTGTAAAAATCAGCACTTCAGAAGTTTTAATGTACAGTAAGTACATTTATGCAGAGAGAGGGTGTATTGACAAAACACTCTTGCTCACCTCTTGGCAGTTTCTGGTGCAAACAGTCCCATTATACTACATGCTGTTATCATATGATTAGCATCTCTAGCCTTCTGCTAAGCTAAGCTAAGGCTGTTTTCATCCTCAGTATTATACAAACTTCTGTATCATACTATCAGTAAATGAACATGAAATTCTGTTTTTCTGCAAACTGAATTAAAGTGCTCAAAAATTAAGTGTGTAATTAAAAATTAAAGTTCATTTTAATAATAAATTGGTAAGAAGTACTTGGACTATAAATAAAAGCTAAACTTACATCGTGTGTTTGCCAAAACTGCCCATTAAAAAGGCTACTTGGTAGCTGACAAAAGGGATATCATCCTCACGGTTCAACTTTTAGTAAGAGAAAATACTACCTCATATAATATTTAGTAACCCCAAAGTAGTTAAGTATTCAGACTTCCTGCTGCAGTAACACATGAAATAATAAACAATACAAGTTCGAAAGAGAAACCTGACTGAAGAACTGCACCTTGATCTAAATACTAAATATGCTTTGCATTGAATACCAGCACAGGGAAAAGTTCTGTTATGTCTACAATGGCAACTTCTTGTGTATTGTAAGTTAGTTAATATATCTTTTTTTTTTTTACCTGATCAGAATAAACATTAGCAAAAGAGACTATACAGCCAATTTTGTAATAGCAATGATATTAAAAGCCACATAAAATATATACATGTGTTCCAAAATGAGCAAGTTCCACACAATGTATTAAGGCTGCTTGCTTAATTTTCTTTCACCAAAGTCTATGCAGTGGGCCAGCCAGGCAGCATACCACAACTGCTCTGCAGAAGCCCTGAGAATACCATTAGATACAGGAAAGTAATGCAAGAAACAATTCATGCCAAAGACCTTTGTAAGCAAGTCTGAATAAAATTTAGTCAGGGTCAGGATCTGAACTAAAGCCTGCCATTTTTATGATCTTTGAGGTCTCTTCCAACCTTAATGATTCTATGATTCTATGATTTGAGTAGCTCTGCTGTGGGCATACAGACCAAGTATTATACTGAGCTACAAGACAGCAGTGAAATTCCTGAAGAGACAGCAGGGAATATGCCTGCCATAACAGGACTTTGAGACTGCTCAAATATATCCAAAAACCTAATTCAGGGAAGGATAACAAGCAAGTCCTAGTTAATGCTTCTTCTGAGATAGTCATTCACTCCATCAGATAGTCAATCATAGCTGTTCAGTCTCAAGTAATCCTACTTGCAGTTACAGAACTTCTAAAGAACTCAGCAGAAAATTAGATTGTGCTATGTACAGTGGATCTGTAATGCCTCCCAAACTAACATACACACACACAGAATTTATGTGTTGTGGTTTAGTGACCAAAACCAGGACAGTAAGGTACTACAACAGATCCACTTTACATCACAATCTAGCATTTCCATTGAGTCCTTCAGAAAGTCTTCTAGTATGTGTGCATGTGTATATATGTATATTTATATATGCACACATATATGCTAGAAGACCACCTATTAGAACAAGGACACTAGTTGTCTTTATGAAGACTACTTCATTGTGTTAACAAGTTCAGGAAACATGGAAACAAACCTGGGTCCGTACTGGGGTGAATTATCATAATGAAAGTAGTATCTGTAGATGTATTTGTCCAAATCCTCAAAAATCTTTTCATTATTATGTTGGTATTCCTTCATATCTTCCAGGTAATCCTTGACATCATTAACGAAATCAGTGAACAGCATCTGGTCATGTATAAATACCCCATTATGAAAAAACTTATTGATGAAATTTTCTAGTTCTCTCCAGTGATGAAAGTTATGTACAACTTGTTGCAAATACTTTTTCATTAGCCGATTAAATTCATCCACCTGGATAGGATCTGATACTCTGTTAAAGAGACTGATGAATTCTTGATGAGCACATTCAAAAATACCAGAGCAGCCCTTGAGGGCAAACTGATGTTTTCTATTACACAAAGGATCATGGAGACATTTCTGTGAATCTGAATATTTTTCAAATGCTGTAAACTGATGTTTTCTTCCATCTTTGAATTCTTTTGGCATGTTAGGTCCCCTATAATGCATGTGCTTCAGATTTTCATAAGAATTATGTTCTCGATAAAAAGTTCGAGCCTTCTTGTTTGCCTCATGTCTCTTATCATTTGACTTCTCCTTTTCATCAAAGATGTTTTTTGTGCTATCTTTGAAGTGTCTGAATGTAGACTTTACAGAATCGGAGAATTTTTTCAGGTTTTCTTTCACTGCTTCTTTAGCCTGCTTAATCTTTTCTTTATGGTGTCTTACAAACTCTTTTGTGGAATTTTTCATGGCATCAAAAGTTTCTTTAACTGAACCAAAAAATGATTCCTTTGATTTCTTTTTATTCTTACTTTGCCCTTTAGCACCTTTCTTCTGTCCTTTTTCATTCACTTCTTGTTTTTCAGTTTGGTCTTTTGCTTCAACATACAGCTTCTCCCATAAGTCAGAGCGCTGTTGCTCAAAGTTCAGCTTTTTTTCTAGTTCTACTAGCCTTCCTCGCAGTGTTTCTATTTCTTGGTTTTCTCTTAATGCATCATCATCATTAGCACTGTCAGGTGCTTGACGAGAGCCTAACTGTTCCAATTCCTTTTTTAGAGCTTCTGTAACATGACGTTCTTTGTCCAGTTCTCTCCTTAACATCTGTGCCTCTGCAAAGAGTGTTTCCTTTTGCCTGAGAAAGTTGTGGTTTCTTTGCTTTTCCTCTTCTAGATGTTCCCTTAGCTTCTGATTTTCCATTACAATAGACTCAGTGCTAGTACCTTTATCTTCTAAATTTCTAATTTGTTGTCTTAGCTTCCTTAATTCTTCCTGAAGTGAGGCCAAAGCTTTTTCTTCCTTCTCTAGAGATTCTCTTAAGTGCTGATTTTCTGCAGCAAGACTCTTTTTTTGAGATTCAAAGGATTTTTTCTCCACCTCAGTAGAGGTCAAACATGTGGCAAAATCTCCCTTGAGTGACTAATACGAACAAGAAGAAAACAAGCAAAAGTACTGCAATTAGAATTGTTACAATTTCAGCTAGAAAGATGAAAGACCAAGGTAGCCCAGACCCAGTTTACTTGTCATTTTGGATGCAATAACACATGTTGCAGCAAGATGCAAAAATAGAGCTAGTTTGTTTATCTCAGATACACACACAACCACTTTCTTAGCAACAAAGACCATGTGAGAGGCTCCCCCTTCCAACCAGAGGTCATCACCCCTCACTTGTATTGGTTTAACCAGCTGAAGGATAGTAACCTGGGTATATGAATCGGTAAGTCTTAAAAGACAATGAAAATGCATGTTTGCTGTTGATTCATGTTCAGCAAACTGGGTTTACAGATTACAAAACCAAATCCATTAGCAGAAGCAAGGGCATTCAGCTGTTGGGGCAGGAATTCAGGAACTGATTTTGAAATAAATTTGCTGCTGAAAATACATGTTCATGTAACTATATGCTAACACAAAGGGATCTCCCCAGTCTCTTGACATCCTTGACAAACCCCAGAACTAAATATATTTAATCACGTATAAATGCTGCTATCAGCAACATAAAAGAAAATTTAAAAA